GGGTCAGAGCGCCAAGACCCCCGCCTTCGACGACTGCCCATGGTGTCATTCACCCAACTCGTATGGCCCTCCTGCAGGTGGTGGGCCCACAGGAAGGCAAAACTGTGTTGCTTGTTTAGGCTGAGCTCGACCAGGCCCCATGGGTAGTGACCCAGTTATCAGGTGCTTACTGATGAGACCCTCCCCCAGGTCTGTCTCCAGTGTGGGGCCCTGGTAACCCACATCTGGGCTAAGGACACTGAGCTCCTTGCTGTTTTCTGTTCATTTGGGTCTTCTGAATTGCTCTTTGTCTAGTCTGTCACCTAGGACTAATCTGACTTGGGAGACCCTACCAGGCATAGCTCCTAGGATCATTCAGGCTCACAAACTCCTCCACCATGATAAGCTGGAGATTCGTTCTGGAAGATATTTTAGAACTCAACTCTGATCTGTTTGTCTCCTCAGCTTTGTCTTTGACTTGTGTGGAGAGTTACTTGGTCTTTATGATGTATCTTTCTTGGTGGTAGCTAGAACTATTTAGAGGTTCTGAATTGGTTCTTGGGGCTATCAGTGGATACTGAGATCATTTGATGCATTTGAATTCTCACAGAGGGATCTTATTTATCTAATTATATCATTTTGAAGGTGAAGGTTTCAAAGACCTGGGGTCAGTATATTAAATGTGGGATAGCTTTTTATTTGTTCATGTAGAAGTAGATTTGTTTGCCATTAAACTTTCCTTTATCTGAAGTATTTTGTGTAGCTTTATGGGTTATAATGACACTGAATACTTTGCACCCACAGTGCCAAACTTCACCCTGCCATCTTTAATCAAATTAATTTTTCAGATCTTTTTCTGTGCATAATTTAGCTTAACTCTGTTCTCCAGGGTCTGATACAAAATGAATGATCAGTCTGTTATGGTACGAGGAAAAAGTCATGCACTTTAACTTCCTGCACACCTTTGTCAAGTCAAGTCAAATTTATTTATAAAGCACATTTAAAACACTTTTTAAATCATTTAATCATTTTCATTTAACAATCACAAACAACTCTGATTAATTGACAGAGCAACTGAAATGCCTTTAGCTGTTCCTTTTGTATTTCTGTCACTGTGTTAGTTACCATACCATTCATTCAACCTTTATTTAAACACATAAATCACATTGAGCCTCAGAGACTCATTTACAAGTGAGACCTGTTTCAGACAGACAAACAGACAAAAGTAAGAAAAAGAGAAAACATGAGGGGGGAGGGGAGGTAAAAAAATCATCTCGCACTATATCCTAGCTGGGACACAGTGTGAGAGTTGGAAAAAAGAACTTGCACATACACAGCAGACATAATACATTTATGCATGAGGAGGCCGATGAGAGCAGTGAGTTGTGTGTGGACACAGCCAGAATGTTCCATAGTCTTGATAAAGATGGTACAGTGTCTATCAGCCACCTCAACTCTGATACAGATCCACAGATGTCCTCGGGAGGGGAGCGATAGGGGATGGGGGGCAGAGCTTCTCATTCACATAAACCAGGAGAAGTTTGAGATAAATGGCCAAATCAAGGCCGAGAGGGGAAGCCAAATTCAGATAACACAATTATTTTGTGTCAGGCAACCTCTGCTTGATTTCCATGTCTGCTTTCAAAGTTCTGCTGGTACGTCTCACTGGCGATTCCAAACAGCCACATTTTGTAGTCACACCACCGGACCGAGCTTGTAGCCTTCTCCAAGGTTGATTCCTTCCCACCAGTGAGTCCCAGGAGCTGCAAGTGGCCTGTGATTCTCAGAAATTGCGTCCAGCTTACAGCTCAGCTCATCCAGCATCTGAGCCTGAGAGCTCACTGCTTGGTACATTCCTTCATACAAGGCAGGCAGCTTTACCAAGACCAGAACAGCTGCCGACATTTTGCACATTTGCCGATAATCCAGGTATCTGCCGACTCCATACCATATCATACCATACCATACCATAACATAACATATACCATACCATACCATACCATACCATACCATATCATACCATATCATACCATAACATACCAAAACATACCATACCATATCATATATTATATCATATATCATATATCATATCATACCATACCATACCATACCATATCATGCCATACCATACCATACCATACAATACCATATCATACCTAACATACCATATCATACCATACCATATCATGCCATACCATACCATATCATACCATACCATACCATACCATATCATACCATACCATATCATACCATAACATACCATAACATACCATACCATATCATATATCATATCATATCATATCATATCATATATCATATCATACCATACCATATCATGCCATACCATACCATACCATACCATACCATACCATATCATACCTAACATACCATATCATATCATATCATATCATATATCATAACATAACATAACACAACATACCATCATGGGTGGCTGTGGCTGAGTGGTTAGAGCAGTCTCCAATGTGAGAGTTGGGGGTTCGAATCCACCAGCAGTCACATGCTGAAGTGTCCCTGGGCAAGACACTGAACCCCTCATAGCCTCTGATGTGTGTCCCATCAGTATATGAATGTGATCTATAAGCTCTGATTAGTCTCATTAGAATTATTTGTTTAATTAGCTTTGTAGAGATCTAGTAGGGCGCTGTATGAATGGGTAAATGAGGACACAGATTGTTGTGTTAAACACTTTGAGTATCTTGAAATAAGACAGAAAGGAGCTATATAAGTACAGTCCATTTACCATTTACCATACCATACAGTATCATACCATGTCATGTCATGTCATGTCATGTCATATCATACCACTTTATTTTAAAGCTCTTAAAACAGCAACAAGGCTAACCAAAATGCTGTACAGCAAAAACATACAAGCAAAACACACAGAAAAAAAATACGTAGATCCAAATGGAAAAAGATAAGAATTAAGTGGCTAACATTGTTGATTACAGACAGGTTCAAAACAAATTACACAGTGTCAAAAGCCATGGAATAAAATGTGTTCTTGAAACCAATGAAAGCATCTGGTCTGCTGACCTCAGAGAGCGCTGGGGGACATATGGCTGCAGCAGATCACTGAGATAAGAGGGGGCAGAAATGTTCAGAGATTTAAAAACATACAGAAGGATTTTAAAATGAATACGAAAGTGAACCGGGTGCCAGTGAAGAGAGGCCAAAACTGGGGTAATGTGCTCTGCTTTGCCTGTACCAGTTAAAAATCAGGCAGCAGCGTTTTGGACCAGTTGTAATCACGCAATGGAGGTCTGACTGATTCCAAACAGAAGAGTGTTGCAGTAATCGAGCCTGGATGTTATGAGAGCATGTGTTACTGTCTCAAGTTTACTTTTGGACAGTGTGGGCTCACCTCAACTGAAAACAACAGGATTCAACAATCATGTTTCATGGAAGGGTCCGCTGTCACTCCCAGATGAGTGACAGTTTCTCTAACAGAGCTAGAGAGGAGAGGTCGATGCAGTGGTTCTTGATCGTGCCATTAGGAGGAAACAGAATCATTTCAGAGCAGTGAGAGAATGAAAACCTGGCTTTATATTTCAAATTCAGGTTGATTACTTGCTACAGAGCTGCATTCTCTGCAAATGTAGAAATGTTTTAGTGTTCAAGCATGAAGACATTATGCAGCTCCTTCTAAGGAATACCCAGTCTTCAGCAGCTTTTTAAAAACATTTCCTTGTTTATTCTCAAACGACTCTTAGAATTTTAGCATTGTAAGAGATTTACCACCCACTACGATCTTCACTCCCAAACAGCTCGCTCTGTCACAGGATCAGTGCACAGAATGCCTGTTAGCAATTACTTTCCCTGCTGCTCTTTCTTTGCCACTGCAGGGTTTAGTGGCAGAAACACCAACATTATTTCTGTGTAATCATAAAAATCATGACAGCGATGTGCTTCTCATGCCTTCTTTAATTTATTCTACATGTATAGGGCTCATGACACAGAGAGTAGAATGTTCCTCAGATCAGCTTGCTGCACGTCCACCAGCGGTACAAACACCATCGTTAGATTTAAACTGTGAAACAGAAACGTGAAGAGCCCGAGAGCAGGAATAAAGACTGCTGCTGCACAAACAACCAGACACAAAGAGATGAGTGAGTTCAGGAGAGAGGAGGCTGCTCTCCTTCACAGCAGAGGTGACCACAACAGAGAAACTCACATGAACCACAGCACAGTTTGTTTGTGGCTCCTCGGACTGATGAAGTCCTTTGGATGAAGCATGCAACGTCTCAGCAAAAAAGGAATCCGTCCAGGGGACCTGACTGAACCTGGTTAGATTTTTCTACCTGGATTATTGAGCAGCGTCAGGATTGGCTGTGAAGCAGTTCTGAGATCAGATCAAATGTTTTGAAGACTCTCGTGTTGAGTTTAAAATGACAGAAAGCTCAGCGTTCAGGTACATCTGTGTGTGAAGAACATATTCCACCTCTTTATTTGTCTCAGCAGACTTGTTCTGTTTTCTTTTGTCTTCAGCGACACCTATAGTTCAGGAGGAGAACTGCAGCAGCGCTGCTGCAAACAGAAACAAACACTTAAAATGTGCTTAGAACGGTGAACCAACTAATATTATACGATTTAAAAAGTTACGTGTTTGTTCTAGATGTTGGATCGCTGATCTTCTGGCTGCTCCCCTCTTCAGGGGTCACCACGGTGGGAAGTCTCACTTTGGAGATTAGTCAGTCATTTTACGTTGGATGTTCTTCCTGGACTCAAACCTGCGGCGTCAGGATTATGAGACCACAGCACTGACCACCAAGCTACAGCAGCCATGTTTCATTCTTAACAGTGTAGAAAATCCATTCCTCTGCTCTGCAAAGTTACTAAAGGAGGATTAAACCCATCTGCTGGCTTACGTGTTAGTAGTTTGGATCAGACCCAGTCGGTCTGCAGGTGAAGGTTTTTATAAAACAGCTTAAAGGTGTACTGAACTAAAACAAACTATCTGCAGCTCGTCTTTTTACACTGACCGGTTCGTTTCTCCTTCCAAGGGGGCTACAACATCAACGACGTCATGTTTTACTGGACCCGAGGCAACGAGTCGGTCAGCGGTTTGGACACCCTTCAGCTGGCTCAGTACACCGTGGAGGACCACTACACGTCTGTCTCACAGGCCGTCTACGAAACAGGTATGTCTGATGACATCACTGCCAGGGCCAGGCTGTGATTTAAAGGAATAGTTCAGCCATGTTGACGTGGCTCAGACTAAATGAATAACTTCTGAACATTGTGAGAACTTTTCAGTTGCTGGTTCTTCTGTGCTGATGGTTTCTGTCTCCTCCTGAAGGCCAGTACCCGAGGCTGGTTTTCCACTTTGAGCTGAAGAGGAGCATTCTGTACTTCATCCTGGAGACGTATGTCCCCTCCAGCCTGCTGGTGGTCCTCTCATGGGTGTCCTTCTGGATTTCTCTCTCCTCTGTTCCAGCTCGTATCTGTATTGGTAAGTCTCAGTCTGTCCGCCTCCACGGGAATGTGTCTTCCTGAAAACCTGGTGTTATGTTACATCTAAGCCCAACGAAGGTAACGTGGCGAGGCTTCCACAAACATTTGTCAGCAAACACTGTAAAATAAAAAAGATACAAAGGTATTTGTTCTTATCATTAATTTAAAACAAACATCAGAAAAGAAAAGGAAGTACTCGTCAGAAGAATTCACCATCGTTGGGCCGTTCCGTGGTTTCAAACGTCTTCTTTTGAATTCCAACAGATGGCCTCAATAAATCAAAATATCCTTGATTGATGCAAACGACTCATAAATAAATCAACTTCAGACGAACAGAAACATAAAGACCATGAGGTCAAAAGTTTAAAGTGACTTTTTAATTGTGTCATTCTTTTACAGGATTGATTCAAAGTTTGATTTTGAACGTGGCTCTTTTTAAACGGGGCTGCAGACACGAGCGGACGATGCTCCCTACAAGCTCCGACGTTGTGTTTGGTTGTGATCGTTCTGTTTTCCCAGGAGTCACCACCGTTCTGACCATGACCACGCTCATGATGGGGGCCCGGACGTCTCTGCCCAACGCCAACTGTTTCATCAAGGCCATCGACGTGTACCTGGGCATCTGCTTCAGCTTCATCTTCGGGGCGCTCATCGAGTACGCTGTGGCCCACTTCTGCACCCTCAGTCACGCCGACGCTCACATGTTCATGGTGAGATTCTCCTGCACGTTTGGCGTCTGAACGCTGACTCAGCATTCACGCCAACGGTTTCCTGTTCTTTCATTTTATCATCACTTTTACAATCGAACGGCTTCTGCAGACTTTGTGCTTCTTTAGTTGTTCATAAATTAAAATGCTCATTTCATTCCAGAGGTAGATACCGATAACATTTGGTTTTTGGAACTTTTCTGCTTTTTAAAACATTGAACTTGTTTTCCAGTCGTAGAAAAACTGAAACTTCAGTTCCTTTAAAAACGTTGTTCTCTGTGGAGCCTGATTCAGCAACCTAGCTGCTTTTGTCTTCTGATGATACTTTAGGCTTTTAGTTAAGTCTGAAGTGCTTCTTCTGTAGCTTGTCTTCAGCTGATATTAACTTTAAACAACTTACTTTTAGTTTCTTTAGCTAATTTCAGCAGTGACTCAGCAGTGACTCAGCATTCACCTTCATGTTTGCAGAAATGTTTCTAGTTGATGTTCGTGTGATCAGTCAGTGTGTTCGTCACGGTGGTTGCTGTCTTTGTTGTCACAATAATCATCATCATCATCGTTGTTGTCGTCGTCATCATCATGACGTCGTGGTCTTCGTCATCATCATAAAGTTGTTGTCGTCATGACGTCGTCATCGTCACATCATTGTTGTTGTCATCATGGTCTTCATCATCATCATGACATTGTGGTCTTTGTCATGAGCATAAAGTTGTTGTTGTCATGACGTCGTCATCGTCACATCATCATCACATCATCGTCACATCATTGTTGTTGTCGTCATGGTCTTCATCATCCTCATGACGTCGTGGTCTTCATCATCATCATGACATTGTGGTCTTTGTCATGAGCATAA